CCATTTGTTTTTGATGAGAAATGTAAACAATCTTTTGATCTTTTAAAAGAAAAACTCACTTCAGCCCCCATAATGCAGCCACCTAATTGGGCTTACCCCTTTGAATTAATGTGTGATGCAAGTGACTGGGCAGTTGGGGCTGTTTTGGGGCAAACATATGGGAACCAATCTTATGTGATTTCATATTCTAGCACTACACTCGACTCAGCCCAAAGAAATTATACCACAACAGAGAAAGAAATGTATGCTGTAATCTTTGCTCTAGAGAAATATAGAATATACCTGTTAGGAGTTAAGATAACCATTTACACTGATCATTCAGCTTTGAAATACTTAATAAAGAAGCAACACACTAAGCAAAGATTGATTAGATGGATGTTGTTGATGGAAGAGTTTCAGTATGAAATAAAAGATAGAGCAGGAAGGTTGAATCAGGTGGCTGACCACCTCAGTAGGATAGAGAACAATAAAGAAAATCTAGATCCTTTCACTGGAACCTTTCCAGATGAGAGTTTATACTTTGCTTCTCATGTTCCTTGGTTTTCTGATATTGTTAACTACATAGTCACGGGAGCCTTTCCCCGTGGAATGCCTAGTTCATTAAGAGAAAAGATTCAATCTCAAGCACGGTTTTACATTTGGGATAACCCATACCTGTGGAAAATGTGCTCTGATCAAGTGGTAAGAAAGTGTGTAGGAGATTATGAGATAAATTCAATTTTGCATTTTTGTCACACTTTAGAGGGTGGGGGACATCTAGGACCTCAAAGAACAGCCCATAAGATTCTTGAATGTGGTTTTTATTGGCCTACAATCTGTAAGGATAGTGCTGAATTTTGTAAATGTTGCCCTCAATGTCAAAAAACTGGAAGCTTGTCTCAAAAAGATCAAATGCCACTGAAATCCATTTTTGTTTGTGAATTGTTTGATGTTTGGGGTATGGACTTTATGGGGCCTTTTCCCAATTCTTTTGGAAACACTTATATTCTCTTATTTGTTGATTATCTTTCAAAGTGGGTTGAAGCAGTTCCTACTAAAACTGATGATGCCAAAACAGTAGCTAAATTTGCTCAAAGTCTGATTATTAACCGGTATGGAGTGCCTAAGGCATTCATCAGTGATAGGGGAACTCATTTTTGCAACAAAGTCCTGACCCAACTGTTTTCAAAATATCACATAACTCAGAAAATTTCCATAGCTTACCATCCACAAACAAATGGCCAGGCTGAAGTTTCAAATAGAGAATTAAAGAGAATTTTGGAGAAAATAGTCAGACCTGATAGAAAAGATTGGAGTTTAAGGCTAGATGAGGCCTTATGGGCCTATAGGACTGCCTTTAAAACACCAATAGGCATGTCTCCTTATAGGTTAGTTTTTGGGAAAGCATGTCACTTACCTGTTGAGATTGAACATAAGAGTTACTGGGCTGTCAGGACAGTTAATTTAGAATATGATAAGGCTGGTAGAGAAAGAAAATTACAACTCTCTGAACTAGAAGAAATCC